ATGGTGGTGGCACAGGGGTGATTTGGTGATGGGAAACCCATGGGGATTACAATTGAGATGAAAAAAAAAATGTGAAAAATGATGTAAAAATAAACTTTTTAATAAAAAAAAAAATTTGAGTCTGTAGAATGTTTATGATTAATGCTTTTCCTATTTACCAGTTTGTTCTATCTGCATATTTCTGTTTTTTAATTTTCTTTAGGTTGTTCGGGGACACTATAAAGGACAGCAAATTGGCAAAGTAGTCCAGGTTTACAGGAAGAAGTACGTCATCTACATTGAACGAGTGCAGCGGGAGAAGGCCAATGGCACAACCGTTCATGTGGGCATTCACCCCAGTAAGGTAGGTGAATGCTTGAGAGAGAAGTGCAACCATTGGCAATGTGATATGTTACTTGCTGCAGGGCAATCCCCTAGAAATAACTGCTGGTTTTAGATGTGCTGGAAACTTTAAAATCTTTATGAAATCAAGGTCCCCTTTCGGTCATCATTTACGTTTGTTATTTAATGTATGTTTTCCTAAAAAGTTGTTAATGACCTGATTGATCGACCATATTAACAATAAATGGACCTTAGTATTTAGGTTAAATGGAGCGGAAAGACACAATTTGCTTTTGTGCATTAAAGCTTACAGTTAGTGCCCAACCTGATGGCACAGCAGGTTAAAGCACAGCACTATGAAGCTACCTCAGCCACTGTAGCACGAGTTAGATCCCTGGAGATGACCCATATGGCGTGGCAAACCTCTCCTGACCCACCCACTGCTCCCCTCAAAAGTGTATTTTAATACATCTGCCTGTTCTGCTCCACACTCTGTCTCTGGTGAATCCTCTCACTCCCCACAGGTCTGACCTGTACCCCAGTTCTGTATGCATAATAAATAAAATCTTTTTAAAAAAGAAAAATTTACAGTTAGCCTAACTCCTATAGCAACAGGTGCCTTTCCTGGACTTTAATGTGAATTAACCAATATTGTTGTCTCTAATCTCTTTTTTTAATGTTTAATTAGAGGTAGAGGTAATGAGTGATCATTCAAAACAGTATGAACTGTTTTGGGTCTATTTTTTCTTTTTTTTGTAAGATTTATTTACACATACAGAACTGGGGTACAGGCCAGAGGTACAGGGGTGGTGAGAAGTTTCACCAGAGAGAAAGTGGGGATCGGGACAGGCCAACTGACAAGTACATTCCTGAGGGGAGCAGTAGGTGGATCAGGAGAGGTCCACTGCATCACGTGGATCGGATCACCTCGGATTACCTCTGGGGCAGGCAGAGATCAAAATCATGCTGAAGTGGCTTTAGCTTCTTACTGCTGTGCTTTAACCTGCTGCGCCACCAGGGAAGGCCTATTTTGTTTTTTTTTAAAGATCTTGTATTAGCACCATGAATTTAATTTCAAACTATAGAAAGGTCAAAACCAGCATCTTTTGCCTAGAATTCATTGTTAATGTTTTGCTTTATCTCATTTCCCCATATCTCACTTCCCTACCTCAGTGGTCACAAGCCTCCTGACACTTCAGCCACACTTCAGTATGAGTCTCCTAAGAGCAAATGTTGTCTCATTCTTCAACCTAATGCCAATCATATTTTGCCTCCATCACCAGATCAGCTGTTACCAGGGTCACCAACCCAGTGTCTGATTCTTAGTCTCTGGGAATTTAGAGCATGACCATTAATCTGTACTCTTTATCATTCCGTGGTCATCAACATCTCTTAATTTCAGTCTTAAGACTTGAGCTATCTATAGGAGGGTGGCTGTACCCAGTTCTCAGTACCCAGTTGCCTATTTTGCATTTTGACTTGGATTTCTAATCCATGATTTCTAATTTGGCATCAAACTTTTGTCTTTGAAACCACCTCTTAGTTTGCCACCATCACAGTGTGTGACAGCCCTAGTCTCTCAATTGTTCAGCTAAAAAGGTCTTTTTTGTTGTTGTTGTTTAAATATCCTATGTCAGTCAGTAAGACCTACTGACTGCTGTTACCATTAAACTGATCTATGAGACTTAACCTGCTCTTCCCTCACCAACCATTTAACCAAGCTTACTCCACTCGCAATGATCTTCTAGTCTGCCGCCTCCTTGCTGTTCCTACAACTATGCTACCCAATATGTCTTTTGACTAGCTTCACCTGAGAATTTCATAAACCTGCAGATTCTGTTCCCAGCTTTACTGAGGAGAACTTGGGGATGAGACCCACAGATCTGTTTTAATAGGACTTCGGGGAAATCCAGGTTTAAAAAACACCTGTAAAACTCTGTTCTCCTACTTCTGGACCTATGTACTTCTCTTTTGGACACTTTGCCAGAGAGCTCTTTACTTTTATCCCTTTTTTAGGTGTTCAAATGTAACCTCCATCAGTAAGTAGGGCCTTACCTGATCTTCCTGTGTGATTTAGTTCCTATTCTCCATTCCTTGGCCTCTCCCATTGCCCTGTCTTTGCTATTTAAAAGACTGTTGTAGTACATTGACTTAACTGCATTCTGTCTTCCCCTTACTGGAAAATAAACTTAATGGTGGCAGAGAATTTCTTCTGGTCACCATGCTGTTACTATTTCCAGACCTAGTACAATATTTTCATAGGACTTCTTCATAAAACTAAATTTTGTCTAGTCTGGAGTTTTCAGAAGATCTTTCGAAGTAAGATCTGTGCTAGTTTTGCAGGTGCTGTCTGGCATCTGTGATTTACATAATCATTTCATGTTTAGGTGTCCACTAGCCCCAGGTGAGAAATGGAGTTGAATATTGAGATTTCCCATGTTTTCAGTTATTTAAAGCTTAGAAGTGTTTTTTCTTCCTTTGCAGGTGGTTATCACTAGACTAAAGCTGGACAAAGACCGCAAAAAGATCCTAGAACGCAAAGCCAAATCTCGCCAAGTAGGAAAGGAAAAGGGCAAATACAAGGAAGAAACAATTGAGAAGATGCAGGAATAAAGTAGTTTATGTACAACTTTCATTAAAATTTACAGCTAAAATGAAGAGCCTTTGTTATATGTGTGGTGCTTTGGGATGCTACCTAGTTCTTAATGGATCGGTTTTCAGGAAAGTTTAGATCTCCGGAAGCAGGTCACCCCAATCTTTTGGCTTTTATTTCACTTATGAAAAGTACAGTTGAAGTAAAGTTGGTTTTTTTACATTTGAACATGAATTTTTTAATTACTGGTGTTCCGAGTTTTCTTAAGGTTGATGAAATTTTTAAAGCAGGCAGCAGCAGCATTTTAAAGTATAAAGCTAGTTGGTGGGGCCACACTGCCTCTATTGAACATTTCTCCCCATCTAAAAGTATATGTGAGCCTAGGGATTAAGTCTCAGCTATCACCACTATGGCCTCAGTTGGATTCCCCACTAGCGAGCTGACCCACACATGGAGTGCCAGACCTCTCCTGTCTCATCTGTTGCCCCCTTCAGCAGTGTATTTCAGTAAGCTTGTATGCACCCTACTCTGTCTCTGGTGAATCCTCTCAAGGCCCAGCCCCACCCCACCTCTGGCCTATACCCTGATTCCTTTTTTTTTTTTTTTAAGATTGATTTATTCATACAGAACTGGGGTACTGGCCAGAGATGCAGAGGGTGAGAGGATTCACCAGGGGCAGAGTGGGGAGCAGAACAGGCAGATCGACGAAGTAACACTGCTGAGGGGTGCAGCGGGTGGGTCAGGAGAGGTCTGCCGCAGCACCATGTGGATCTCCGGGGCTGGCGGGGATCGAACTCATGCGGAAGTGGCTTAAGCTTCTTACTGCAGCGCTTTATTAACCCGCTGTGCCACCAGGGAGGGCCTATACCCCGGTTCTTAACGCAGAAATATCTGGCTATTTGACAGATACCGCTTGTTTTTTAAGATTTTGCATAAAAGTTTTGTATTGCCTTTAGAAAAGCCTTTTTCACACTAAACAGGAGTTGCTATGGCTCCCTGTTAGGATCCCCGAGAACTGCTTCAGTAGGTCCCATGAGAAGCCGTCCCCGTTACCGTTTTGTTCATAGTTATTGAGAGCATAGAAATCAAAATCGGGTGCCCTCAAACTTGATAATGAATTAAGTAAAAGGGTGTTACAAGAGCGCCCCTACCTTTCCTCATTAAGATTAAGCTTGTAAACTAAGAATGAAGAGTGCAGTTTACTTACCAACCTGGAAGCTTTGTAAAGTGAGAAAATAGTTAAAAAAGATTTTGCTGCGGGAAGCTGAATGGTAGTCCGGGTCACTTGACCCAGCGGAGCACCAAGGAACCGGGTGCCGGGCAGGATTTCTAGGCCTGAGTAGTGGGTTCCGTCTCTGCGATGGCTGGCGCCCGGGAGGGGCGGAGCTTCCGGTCGGCGCGAAGCAGCTTCCGGCGGGGCCCTCGTGGGCGGGTGGTGAGGCGGCGGTGGGGTGTGGCTGCACGCGGCCTGATGGGTGCACATGTTCCGCGACCTGCGGCCCTTGGCAGCTTCCCGCTCGGGACTGCCCGCCCTTGTACAAAGTGACACAGACGTGGTGGTCTCCTGCCCGCCCTCCTGTGCCCTCCCCGGCTCATCCGTTCAGCCCTGAGCCGGAGGCCCCGCAGGAGTGGGCGGGGCGGTGAGGAGTGGGCGGGGCGGCGAGGAGTGGGCGGGGCTGCGAAGAGCTGGCGGACCCGCGTGGAGCCAGGCACCGGGAGATCTGAGTCCGCGGAAATCAGGAGGGCACGCAGAGGAGGTGGTTCCCTCGCAAGGGGGTCTTCTGGAGCAAGGGGAGCTCCTGGCTTGTGAAAGGTGCTTTATTCGCATAAGTGCTTTTATCTACATTTTCACGGAGTCCTCAGAACAACTCACCGTGATGGAGACTAGAATTCGCCCCATTTTATTGTTAAATCGAAGACCTCTGTTTCCTTACCCAAGTTAACCACAATACATGGAATAAAAGAGAAGTTGAATTCGTAAGCCTGGACTCTGAACCTACTCTGTACTGCCTCAATACTATAAGTAAAGTGTTTGACCGATGTCTTTTGTAGTCGTTTTGTCGCCACTTTCTGAGGGAATACAGCTTAAGCAGATAGGTCTAGGTTATATTCATCTGAACCAGTCGGCTAAAAATACAAAGAAGCAAAGAGCTTCAGGGAGTGCAGGCATTCCTGGGAGGGTGATGGCTAGCAAGTGGAGCTGGTGAATGCATCGGAAAGGAGGCTGATTTACGTGTGATTTGAATGCAAGGATATCTAGGAGCTGAGAGACCAAAGTGAAGATGCACAAGTGGGCAAGGAAAGGAAATGTCTCCAATTTTCTCTAATTAAACTAATTTTATCAGTTACTCCACTAACAAGTCATACTGGGAAGCTAACCACATTTCTTTAGCGCTATGTTTCTCTTTTTGTTGCGTTAGAAGAAATGAAGGCTACAAGGGAGAGTAAATAAGATAAATGAATAGACGACTTAAGCAGTTATGGGAAACCAAAGAGTACAGCCTCAATCTAAAGGTAACTGGCACAGACACTCTTGTTTCACCTCTGCTCCTCTTTGTGGAGTATTCAATAAGTCTGCCTTTCCTGCCTTTTAATAAGTAAATAAATAAATAACGTAAAGTAGCTGTTCCTCTCCAGCTTGTTACCAAGCAGCTCTTTCTATTTTTCAAGAAAGTCAAATCTAGAATATGAACTGTCCCAATTTGTAAATATAGGTAAACATTCACACTTTAAAAACTAAACATTGTGTGGACAAACCAAATTAGTCTACTAACCAAATTTGCCTCAAGCTACACTTTAGAATTTCATGGTAGGTGCAAGGACCTTATCACATATAACAGGCTGAGAATTTGCACGTTTTGAGTTAACTTCTTTTTGTAAACATCCTTTTAAAATCATTTATTTATGCATAGAAGAATGGGGACATAGGCCTGAGTTGTAGGCATGAGGTGGGCGTTTGAGTGGGGACCAGCGACAAGAGGGGAGCAATAATAGGCAGATTTACTGAAATACACTGTTGAGAGGAGCAGTGGGCAAAACAGGAGAGGTCTGGGGTAACAAATGTGGGTTAGCTCCCTGGCTGGGGATCAAACTCAGGCCATAGCAGTGACATAGCTGAAATTTAACTCTAATGCCACCAGGGAGCCCCTGATTTTAAATTCTTTCCATCCTGTCTTCATCTCTTTATAGGATGGACATAGGACTCTTTCTGTACAGTGCCCAAAGAATATCATATAGCAGCCAGGACAGTCACTCAATTTCTTTATATATATATATATATCCTCCCTTTTAAAAAAAAAAAAAAGATGTATTTCATCTGTGTATACAAGAATGGGGAGCAGAACTGAAGACTGACTAGAATATATTACTTTGGGGAGCATCAGGTGAGACTGGAGAGGGTGCCAGGGATCTAGCTGGTGCTTCAGTGGCTACCAACAGCTTCATAGCAGAGTCTTAACCACTTGTGCCACCAGGGAGGACCCATTCATTTTGTACAATGTATGTTTTCTCCTCTCCAGAGTAGTTCCTGTAAAATTCCCACCACCAATCCCCATCATCATAGTCCTGCACCATCACCATACTCTGTTGTGCTCTTTCCTCCCGTTTTGATCTCTCTTTCTCCCCCTTCCCTGCAGAATGTCTCTGATTTATAGTTAGCTATTAATTTTGTTTTTCAATTTATTATAATTATTTGTTTCCTGATCCTTTGTTTGGTTCCTCTCCATTCCTCCTATCAGTAAAACCATTTTCTTTTTCTTCTGGCATATTTCACTGAGCATAATCCCAGCTCCATCCATGTTGCTACAGAAGTCATGAGTTTTTTTGATTGCTGAGTAATATTCCATGGTAATACACCACATCTTCTTGATCCAGTCTTCTGTTTTAAACATTTGGATTGTTTCCAAGTCTATTGTAAATAGTCCTACAATAAACATAGGGGTGCAGGTATCCTTTGAATTAATGTTTTTGTGTCTTTGGGTAGATTCCTAGGAGTGGAATTGCTGGGTCATATGGTAGCTCCATTTTTAGTAATCTGAGGAAACGCCACACAGCTCTTCATAGTGATTGGACCAGTTTGCACTCCCACCAGCAGTGGAGCAGAGTTCCTTTTTCTCCACATCCTCACCAACATTTCTTGTTTCCTGTTTTTTTAATATGTGTCAGCCTCCCTGATATAAGATGGTATCTCATTGTGGTTTTGATTTGCATTTCCCTGATTACAAGTGATGAACATTTTTTTTTAATTTTTTTTTAAAGATTTATTTGTGCATACAGAACTGGGGTACAGGCCAGAGGCGCAGGGGCAGTGAGAGGCTTCACCAGAGATAGAGAGGGGAACAGAACAGGCAGATCGACGAAGTACACTGCTGAGGGGAGCAGCGGGTGGGTCAGGAGAGGTCTGCCACACCATGTGGTCACCTCCGGGGCAGGCAGGAATCGAACTCATGCGGAAGCGGCTTTAGAGTCTCAGTACTGTGCTTTAACCCACTGCGCCACCAGGGAAGGCCACAAGTGATGAACATTTTTAAAGATTTATATATTTATGCATACAGAACTGGGGTACAGGCCAGAGGTGCAGGCACAGTAAGAGAATTCACCCAGAGACAGAGTGGGGAGCAGAACAGGCAGATTAACTGAAACACACTGCTGAGGGGAGCAGTGGATGAGACAGGAGAGGTCTGCTGCGCCACGTGGGTCAGCACACTGTCAGGGTATCAAACTCCTGCTGCAGTGGCTGCGGACAGCTTTGTAGTACTATGCTTTAACCCCTTGCGCCACCAGAGAGAGCCGATGAACATTTCTTCATATACCTGTTGGCCATTTGCATTTCCTCTTTGGAGAAGTAGACCCTTCTGCCTATTTTTTGACTGGATTGTTTACTTTGTTTTTGTTGAGTCAGCTTTTTGTAAATCATTGTGATCAGTCCCTTATCAGTTGTATTGTGTGCAAAAATCTCCTCCAAATCAGTAGGATGTCTCTTTGTTTTGGTTAATGTTTCTTTTGCTGTATAGAAGCTTTTTAGTTTGATGTGGTCCCAGCTATTCATCTTTTCCTTCACTTCCTT